ATGTATGTGATTGCCCTAGTGGACAATTGGAGCTCTTACACGATAATTCGGACAGTCTTGTATACGCCATCGACCGAGGACTGCTTAGCACTGTTCAGGGTAGTGGATGCAACATTCAACACTACACCTGAGGGCATTCATACCGAGAATGGATCGCAATTCATTTCTACTGCGTTCGCAGATGCGATGAAGCGTGTGTCCTGTCGGCACGTTTGTTCCCCAGTCTTCAGTTCTTGGTGCAACGGCAAATGCGAACGTATGTTTCGCATCATCAACGAAAGAATTCGTTGTCGGCGCGATCCGACCGAGTTATCATTCCCTACATTCAAACAGCTTGTAGTCCGCGCCACTCAGCTGTTTAACACTGCGATAAGCGGTCGAACAACATAGTCCCCACATGAAACTATATTCACGTATGAGCCTTGGATTTTTCCAAGACTCTCGTCACGATTTAGGCCTGGAGCAAGATCTCCGACTGAGCCCCCAGCCTCTCCCAACCGCTCCCTACCCACCAAAGGTGATTTGTGGTTGATGCGGAAGATGCCAAGAGGCAGGAAGCACGAACGGCCATATCTTGTCGTTCGCATTCTTAATCAGTTATCACCCCTCATTTATCGTATTTTAATGCCTGATTTACGGTAGCGTATTGTACATTTGAAATATCTGAAATACATTTCGTCTACTGCCTTAGAAAAAAGCTCGATTCTCGTCTTGAGCCACCCATGCCCGCAGGTTTCTAACTCCTGCGAGGGGGGCGTGTGGTGGAACCATTGAATTCGAGACAGCATGATTGTGCGCAGTAGACAAAGTTGATCGATTCACCCATATAGCTAACGGCCTTCATTCACGTCAGCTAATGCGAGGCCCCTCTTTACTCGGCCTACCGACTCCCTATGTCGCGTTCCGAAGTCAGAACTGAGGAAAGACGACTACATGGAGCTACGAGTAACGCAGGAATGATTGTCTACTGGTATAAAACGCGACACTAGAGATGGAGGGCCATCTCTGAGGACTACTACTTTATAGAGCCAGGACATCATCCCCACAAATCGGCGCCACGCCAGGCTAGGTAGCGTACATCCAGTAAGCTCGATGAAACGATCTTGACAAGCGTCAAGTCTCTTCAGTTGGGCATCGGGGGCATGAATGAAGCCGGGTGAGGATACGGGTACCAATGACTTAATGGGGACTGACTCTGGTTCTAACCAGGGAAATGGCTTCCCTCCCTCCACAGATAGCTTTCAATACTCACACGTGAAACGTGAGTAACATCTGTTGCAATATACGTTCCGCTCGCGTCACTCGCTCCGCGATCTTATGTCGTACTAGATAACTCCAGTTCTTCTGATGGGCGAAAGCTGTGACCGGGAAGGACTACATTTGACTTCAAGGTCGCCACAGTATAGATTAACCCTTACAGTTGCACAAGCCCGTTCCCGTA